TTTTCCAGCAACGTTGTTTTTGTTCCTGATTTATAGCATCCGCAGTTCTTTCGGTTCTTATTTAATATTTCACTCACTGCCACACCTCTTCCAGGCATGCCCACCTTGAAGAAGTTCTGCTCCTTTCTCCGACGGGATTTCTGTTCTAATCTTTCTTCTTGCCCACCGACTGCGTATAAGCTGATGTTTCCCAGCCACCATCAGTTCTGAGGAAGAGTCACCAGACCCGAAACATTAACTCTGTTTTTTCCTTCATAGATGCTGCCAGACCTGTTGAGCTTGTTCCTGATTTACAGCATCCTCAGCTCTTTCAGTTTTTATTTAGTTTGGAATTATGTTCGGCATGGACTGGCTGGACCAAAGGGTCTATTTCCATTCTGTATTACTCTATGACTCTATAAGAGCATGAGACATAGAAGCAGCTACTTACCAATTCAGTATGAGAGTGGTTACTCTGTTGAGGAACACAACACAAGAATACAACATGGTGATCAGTGGTGAGTTTTCTTAAAAGAAAACACAAAAACAGTGATGCAAAATTGAAAACCACAGAAAAGAAGCCTCACAAGCTTTGAAGTAATGTAGAAGTTACATTTGCATCAGGATTCCAGGGATAAAATTGTGAGACAATTAGTGCTAGCTGAACAGAATGCTTGTTTTGTGAGTTTGCTAGATTGGTATCCATGCAGCTGGTGAATCAGTTGAGCTGTAGAAGCTGCAGGATCAACAAGAAAACTTGGCTGCCATTCATGCACAAAAAGCGAGTGTGCACACAAAGAAGCTTGAACTATAGTGAAAATAGCACTAGGAAGAATTAAAAAAAGGATGCACAGCAGCAGAAATTGTTGCATCTTCGCACAGAGTAGCCTTATATTCTTGGTACTATTAACCGCATACATTGCCATCGTAAATCCCATACATATCATTACGGAATAATAGGCAGATGATGGCCAAATTCCTGAGCATGAATTGAAAGGTCACAGATGCACCGGATTTAGCTGTTGCAGGATCAGAAAAGAAGCAATGGAAGTAAAAAAACTATTGGAAATTAAGGATTGCCCAGAGTCAACAATTCAGGCATGTTTGGAGAGGATCAGAGAGATCATACTTAGCAGTGAATGGACAGTTACAGAAAATAATCCTAAAAATGTGTGTGTTACTCATGATATTGTGGTGTTGGACAAAATCAAAGAAGTGATGTATCTTTTTCTAACATCATAGCACTATACATGCCTAACTTTTTCAACAAAGCATTATCTTTCAGAGAGCTCTTAAGGAAAAACATCCCATATGGCAGGAGGACCATCAACACATATTCAAATGACTCAAACATGCAATGTCAGGATAAATTTGAATCCTACAGAATTTTGGCCCATGGAAGAAGATAATTCTTGAAATTGATGCATCTCAGAAAGGGCTAGTAGTGTGCATCATGCAAGAGGGTAAACCAATTAGAAAAACAAGGCAGAATGAAAACATACATGACAGTTGTTCAGCTGCAGAACTGCATCAACTGTTTGTAGGACAGAAGGTCAGAGTCATACATCTTAGCCATGAAACCTGATTACTTGCAGACTTTTCTGTGGTTTTCAATTTTGCATCACTGTTTTGCATCAATGGTGATATATTCAGAGGTGTGGATGTACAAAAGGATGTCTTAATGCAGTTATACAGGACCTGTGTGAGTCTAGTGCTAGATTATTGCGTCCAGTTTTGGCCCCCCCGAAGGAAGTGGAAGTTGTGGAGGCTGGTATGATTACGGCATTTAAGATACATCTGGATGGCTATATGAATGGGAAGGGTTTAGAGGGATATGGACCAAATGCTGGCAAATGGGATTAGATTTATATAGGATATTTGGTCGGCATGGAGGAGTTGGACCAAAGGGTCTGTTTCCATGTTGTATATCTCTATGACTAAGTGTAGCATAGGTTCACTAGCTTGATGCTGAGGATGGCAGGCCTCTCCTATGAGGAGAGATTCGTTCGACTGGACCTGTGTTCAATAGACTAGGAGGATAGATTAGAATATACAAATTCTAACAGGGCTGGGGTCAGTCTATAGGCAAGGGGAATGTTTTCTCTGGGTGAGAAGTGTAGAACCAGGGCGCACAGTCTCAGGATATGAGGTAGACCATTTAGGACTGAAATTAGCAAAGACTTCTTCACTGAAAGGGTAGTGAACCTGTGGAATTTTCTACCACAGAAGACTGTAGAGGCATTGAATGTATTTTAAAAAAGAGATAGATAATTGTTTAGGTTTTAAAGACATCAGGGGACATGGGAAGAAAGTGAGAATATGGTATTAAATAGAGGATCAGCAGAATGACATTGAAAGGTAGAACAGGCTTGAAGAGCTGAATGGCTTACTTCTCCAAGTTTATATATAAATGGGAATGTATTGTTTTGTTGGATGATTTACCACTGGAAGGAATAAAGTAGTTCCCATAAGAATTCAAGAGATAACAAGGTGTAGAGCTGGATGAACACAGCAGGCCAAGCAGCATCAGAGGAGCAGGAAGGCTGACGTTTCGGGCCTAGACCCTTCTTCAGGAATGGGGGAGGGGAAGGGGGTTCTGAAATAAATAGGGAGAGAGGGGGAGGTGGATAGAAGATGGACAGAGGAGAAGATAGGTGGCGAGGAGACAGACAGGTCAAAGAGGCGGGGATGGAGCCAGTAAAGGTGAGTGTTGGTGGGGAGGTAGGGAGGAGATAGGTCAGTCCAGGGAGGACGGACAGGTCAAGGGGGCGGGATGAGGTTAGTAGGTAGGAGATGGGGGTGGGGCTTGAGGTGGGAGGAGGGGATAGGTGGGAGGAAGAACAGGTTAAGGAGGCGGGGACGAGCTGGGCTGGTTTTGGGATGCGGTCGAGGGAGGAGAGATTTTGAAGCTTATGAAGTCCACATTGATACCATTGGGCTGCAGGGTTCCCAAGCGGAATATGAGTTGCTGTTCCTGCAACCTTCAGGTAGCACCGTTGTGGCACTGCAGGAGGAATTCCCATAAGAATTCACTTCAGTTTATTGAAGGGAATAATGTGAGGTGTATGAATCAGTGGGGAAAATACATCAGCGTCCTTGATCAGCTGTTTGGATTGGAAATCAGCACAGAAGAGCAAGGAATAGTGAATTGACTACATTCTATAAAACATGAAATCTACTGATGAGAATTGACAGAAGGCACTTTTTTTTCATTCCTTCACGGAATGTGGGCTAGGTCAGCAATTATTGCCCATTCCTAATTGCCAAGAAGACAATAAAGAGTTGATCATTTTTTTTTCCTTTATTTATTTACAGGGTGAGGGTGTTGCTGGCTAGGCAGCATTTATTGCCCATCCCTAATTGCCCAGAGTCAACCACATTGCTTTGGGTCTGGAGTCACATGTAGGCCAGACCAGGTAAGGATGGCAGTTTTTTTTTCCCCTGAAGGGCATTAGTGAACTGGATGGGATTTTTATGACAATGGGTTCATGGTCATCATTAGCTTCTTAATTCCAGATATTTTATTGAATTCAAATTCCACCATCTACTATGGTGGGATTTGAACCTGAGTCCTCAGGACATTACCTGAGTCGCTGGATTAACAGTCCAGTGGTAATACCACTAGGCCATTGTCTCCCCGATATTGGTGTGGATCTAGTGTCAGGACAACATATTTCTTTCCCTAAAGGACAGCAGTGGACCATAACTGTTTTTATGATACTCCACAGTTTGAGGGGAAAAATGACAGTGTCACCATTAGTTTTTAATTTGAATATTGAATTCACATTTTACAAACTCACATTGTGTGATTTGAACCCATATTAGTCTGGGATTCTAGATTACAGGCCCGCATACAATTTTGGTTCCTTTACTTGAGGGGTAATGTAGTTGTATTAGAGGTAGTTCCGAGGAGGTTCACTAAGTTGATTCCAGATATAAGGGTTTGTCTTATGAAGGGAGTTTGAGCAGTTGACGCCTAAACTCTCTACAGTTTAGAACAGTAAGAGAGCTAATTGAGGCATGTAAGATGCCAATGGGATTGACAAAGTAGATACAGAAAGAATGTTTCCTCGTGGAAAAATCTAGAATGAGAGGTCATAGTTTTAGGATAAGGAGCAGCAGGTTTAGAACAGAGATGAGGAGAAATTACCCTTCTCAAAGGATCATGAATCTGTGGAATTCACTATTTTAGAATGTGGTATGAAATAATTTCATAGAGGTCAGTATCCATTTACCAAGTCACCCTTTATTTCTATGTGCGTAGTACTTGACACTGGTCTGGCTTTCTCAGAGCGAACTCTCAGAGTGAACAGAACCTCTGACACTCCCGTTTATATCTTCCAGCCAGGAGCCCCTGAGTGGACCAGATTAACAGCCCCAATCATGGAACTCATATTCAATAAAGTCCTCCTGGCTGTCCTTGTTACAATCACTACATGTCGGACTCTGGGACATTGAGTAAATTTAAAGAGGAGATAGAAAGATTTTTGATTGGTAACAGGCTGCTGGGTCATGGAGACCAGGCAGGAAAGTGCAACCGAAGCCAACTTGATGTCAGCCATGATCATATCAAATGGCTGGGCAGACTTAGGGGGCTGAATTGCTCACTGCTGCTCCGAGTTCTAATGTTGTGTTCTTATTTTTTTATGGTCCAGTAACATTACCACAACGCCACTGCTTCAGAGTAGACATCTACAAAACCTCCAAAGGCCATTTCTTTTCAGCAACAAAGACAAAAGTTGCTGTAAGAGCTCAGCAGGTTTGGCAGCATCTGTGAAGAGAAATCAAAGTTAACGTTTCGGGTCCGGTGACCCTTCTTCAGAACATTTATTTTCAAGACTGTTTCAACAATGTTTCATCCTGCAAGTGTGACAGGCGCCCAAAGCGGTTGGGTGGGGGTTAAAAAACGTGAACTGCCACAGTAGGAGGAGGTCATGCCTGCTGTAGAGGGAGGTTGCGGCAGGTGGCGCTGCCGAGGGAGTCAGACAAAGCGGCGGCTGCGGGGCTTGGGCTGGGAGGAGCCGAGTCAGTGCGTAAGTTGCCGGTGAACCAGTGTCGGGGCCGGAACCTGCCGCAGCAACATGGAGTGAAATTAGAAGGAACTAAACCAGTAGCTGGGAAGGTGCGTGAGCGAGTCTGCATAGGCGGCTTGCTGTCAGGTGAATCCTGCATTTCTGTCTGTGATTGTCTTTGAAACCATTCTTTAAATAGCAGCGAGAAGTGTTGTCGTTGACAGGTTTCATTCAGGCCTTTAAACCTATAGCCTTGTCTGTAATGGAAGTAATTGCGCCGTTGGGGGTCACAGCTTAGATCTGTCGATTTATTTCTGTAAATATTTCTTGCCGGGACTTGTTCTCTCCCCCAGTCCCCCTAGGAGTCTTTTTATTATTTTGTGCTGCCCTGTGGCCTTCATGACTCTTTAGCTCTGGTTATAACCATGGGATTTGGTAGAGGAATGTACCTGATGTCCAAAAGTGTTTATTTGCTCAATATTCAGGCAGCTGATATTGCACTTTTTTTTAAACCAGAGGCTTGATGACGATCGCGTCTTTATTTCCAGCTGACAGATGGAAATTTTCCCGAGGCTTTTTAAATTAAACTAAGCCTGATCTGTTTCAGGAAGTTGTCATTTTATGAGTTTTAACTTGGCTTGTGTGGTAACCTCTGATCCCTGCTTCTGTGACTTGGATTCACAATTATTGGCAGTCGCTGATATTGATCTTTGCCAATGGTTACCAACATTGTCTTAAATAAGATACCAAATCCATGCAATCCTTGATGAGTTGCAGTTTGTGCCTTGGTGTGGGGATCGGTGGGAAGTTAGGATTCTAAATCTTTGGAAAACTGATATGGTTGTGATTAATAACTGTTTATGATTTGGTTTTAATAACTGATACACTCTGTGATTTTGATTTAATAACTTGGCATGATGCTTTTATAATTCCAAATGCATTGTTGGGTGGAATCTCAACACTGGACCACATACCCATTTCAGGGTATGCTTAACTGCCTGTCCTTGTACTTGCAGCTGATTTATAGTGCTTAGGTAAAATGGGATTTGGAAGGAAAAGTAAACTTGTTTTTGTTTTGCTTGGAAGCCTGTGACTAGCAGTGTGCCACAGGGATCAGTCCTGGGACCCTTGCTATTATGTGTGTTAACCACTTGGATGTGAATGTCAAAGGTATAATTAGTAAGTTTGTAGATGACTGGAAAATTGGTGCTGTTGGTAGTGAGGAGAATTGTCTCAGTCTACAGTCTGATGTTGATTAGCTGGTGGTAGATGGAATTTAATCCTAATAAATTTGAGGTGTTGCATTTTGGGAGATCTAATAAGGGAAGGATTTAGGGAATACTGAGGAACACAAGGACCTTGGTGTACATATCCAAACATATCTGAAGGTGTCAGCATGGGTGGATAGGCTGGTGAAGAAGACATATGGGATGCTTGCCTTCATTACCTGGGGCATAGAAAATAGAAGCAGCGAAACCTTATTACAACTTTATAAAACATTGGTTGGGCCACAGATGAGTGTACTACTGTGTGCAGTTCTGATTGCCACACTATCGGAAGAATGTGATTGCACTAGAGAGATGCAGAGGAGATTCATAAGGATGTTTCCTGGGATGGAAAGTCTCAGTTATGAGGTGAAACTGGATAGGCTGTGTTTGTTTTCCTTGGAGCATTGGAGGCTGAGGTGGGATCGGATTGAGGTATACAAAATTATGAGTGGCATAGACAGAGTTGATCATGATAATCCCCATGGCAGACATATCTAAGACCAGAGGACAGAAGTTTAAGGTGAGAAGCAAGTGGTTCAGAGGAGATCTGAGAATTTTTTTTTTCACCAGAGGGTTGTGGAAGTATGGAACATGCTGCCTGAGAGGGTGGTGGAGGCAGGTGTTCTTGCAACATTTAAGGAGCATCTGGACGTGTACTTAAAATGCCAGGGTATACAAGCTCTCCACCAAGTGCAGGTAAATGGGATTAGTATAGTTTGGTGTTTGTTGGCCGGCATAGACATAAATGGGCCTGTTCCTATGTTCTATGAATACAAATTTAGTTTTATGACACTTATGGTACAGTTTTACAACAACAAAACAGTAGCAAGATGTCTTAGAGCATTGTCAACTAAGAACATATATTTCAAGGGTTCTTGTCATTCTTGACAGTACTTCAGCTTGTTCTACAGATTTTTTTTTCTGCATTAACCCTGGTGTTCTTGCAATTCAGTCCCTGACAACTATTAATTAATTGTTTTGCCCAGGAAATGCATGAGACTGAAGTGAGATAGCTATGTTTGGATTTATTTATATAATCAACAAATGGGGAAAGAATTTTTATTCTGAGACTGTAACAATTTAGTAGCCATGTGCTGATGTTTAAAATAAATTCTTGCATGTGATGGCATGTCTCTGGCAAGGCTAGCGTTTGTTGCCCATCCCTTTAATACCCTTGAACTGAGTGGTTTGCAAGCCTACTTTGGAGGACAGTTAAAAGTTAACCACGTTGCTGCAGGCCCCAAGTTATGTATATGCCGGATCAGGTAAGGCTGGCCTTACCTAAAGGACATGAGTAAAGCGGATGAAGTTTCATGACAATTGATAGTAGTTTCATGATTACCATTACGATTAGCTTTCAATTCTAGACTTTGCTACATTTCGTTGAGACAAAAACGTTTGGAGAAGTGTAATGAATCATGCATAGAATCATTACTTAAAGTCTTTAGTTCAGTTTTCTAGCGGTCAACAGTGTTACGGTAAATATTGTATGATTGCCTCCGACTACTGTAATTGAATAATATTGTAGTTTAATTGGTGTCAACTATATTTAATTCATGGTTTTGTTTGTTCATCACAGCTGACCCCCAGTGAGATGTAAAGCTTTTCTGTCAATGTCATGCAATTATTAACAAATGGGGTTGTAGAGAGGAGTCTGAAAAACGCACAGCACATCTGGAAGCATATCACCTGCATCAAGCAATTGTTTTAAACTGTTCTTGGCATTGAGAGGACTATCTTCTGTTTTATTAGGGAATCCAGACTGTACATCCCGTATATCTAGGCTGAGTAAGCTAGTCTCAACTAGAGCAGCGGCTGAGATGCTACAATTGACTTGGTTTCCTGTGGATTAAGAAGGCAAGGGGAAAACAATAACATCGTTCCTGGTTCAGATTGTTATCCAATGACTTCTTTTGGAATACATGTGCCGTGGATCAACAACTAAAAATGGGTTTGAATTTGACAATGCTGTCATCCATAGTAAAACAACTTGTTGCCACTCGCCTGCATTAAATGGTACTGCTCACCAGTCTTGGGCATTGAAAGCACAATCAATATAGAAACCTTGACTCTGACAGCTCAGTAAAATCATTCTTCTGATTTTGATTGCTTGTGTATTCACAAGTGCCTCGACCCTAAGCTGTGGAATTCCCACTGTAAACCTTTCCCCTCTGGCTCCTGCTTGAAGCTTTGAAAGCTACTGCTTACTTTGTTCACCTGTCCTAATATCTTTATCAGTCAGTTTCAATTTTGGTCTAGCAATGGTTCTTCAAGTACTTTGAAGCATCTTCTTATGGTAAAGATGCTTTTATAGATACAAGTTATGTTTGTACACTTAGGAGTAATCTAATCAAGAAGTGTACGTAGAGACCCAAACAAAACTGATGTCTAGGATTGTTTTCCCAGTCTTTGTCCTTTTTCAAACTTGAGTTCACCAGTGTCTGGGTACATAACATTTGTAATGAACTAACTGATCTTCTGTCATGTCAGTCCTGATGTAATAAGAGACCCTTCCTTTGACACACAGTTTGTCATGCATTTCCTACTTCCTTTTGATGATTTCTGTAAAAAGCTCAAGATGAGGCCAGAGTGGTGGATGTGATTTAATTGGACTTCAGCAAGGCATTTGACAAGGTTCCTCATGGTAGACTGGTTAGCAAGGTTAGATCACATGGAATACAGGGAGAACTAGCCATTTGGATATAGAACTGGCTCGAAGGTAGAAGGCAGAGGGTGGTGGTGGTGGAGGATTGCTTTTTAGACTGGAGGCCTGTGACCAGTGGTGTACCACAAGATTGGTGCTGAGTCCATTACTTTTCATCATTTATATAAATGATTTGGATGTGAACATAGGAGGTGTGATTAGTAAGTTTGCTAATGACAGCACAATTGGAGGCGTAGTGGACAGCAAAGAAGGTTATGTTAGAGTACAATGGGATCTTGATCAGATGGGCCAATGGGCTGAGGAGTGGCAGATGGAGTTTAATTTAGATAAATGTGAAGTGCTGCGTTTTGGAGAAGCAAATCGGGGCAGGACTTATACACTTAATGGTAAAGTCCTTGGGAGTGTTGCTGAACCAAGAGACCTTGGAGGGCAGGTTCATAGTTCCTTGAAAGTGGAATCGCAGGTAGACAGGATAGTGAAGAAGGCATTTGGTATGCTTGCCTTCGTTGGTCAGTGATTGAGTACAGGAGTTGGGAGGTTATGTGGAGGGTGTACAGGACATTGGTTAGGCCACTTTTAGAATACTGTGTGCAGTTCCGATTTCCCTGGTATTGGAAGGATGTTGTGAAACTTGAAAAGGTTCAGAAAAGATTTGCAAGGATGTTGCCAGGCTTGGAGGGTTTGAGTTATAGGGAGAAGCTGAATCGGCCAGGACTATTTTCCCTGGAGCGTCGGAGGCTGAGTGGTGACCTTATAGAGGTTTATAAAATCATGAAATGCATGGACAGGGTAAATAAATAAGGTCTTTTTCCCAAAACTAGATGGCATAGATTTAAGGTGAGAAGGTAAAGATTTAGGAGGGACCGAAGGGGCAGCATTTTCCAGGCAGTGTGTGGTATGGAATGAGCTGCCAAAGGAAATGGTGGAGGCTGGTACAATTAAACATTGAAAAGGCATCTGGATAGGTATATGAATAAGAAGAGTTTAGAGGGATATGGGCCAAATGCTGACAAATGGGACTAGATTTATTTAGGATATTTGGTCGGCATGGATAAGTTGGACTTGAGGATCTGATCCCGTGCTGAACATCTCCATGACTCTGTAACGCTGCCATAAAGCTCCTCTCTCCTCAGTAACCAAGGCCCCAGACACACCTTCAGTGCTAAGTTCAGTACTTGGGCAGGGACAGCAATAGGGGAGACTTTTCTGCAGGG